ACAGCTTCGACCTAAGCCCTAATGATTTCTATACTTTCCCTAAAATAAAGAATAAATTGCGTGGACAGATATTTTCATCACCTGAAGAAGCTGTGGACGCCTACAAAACGGCCATTTTGGAGACCCCAACTTCCAAATGGAATGGTTGCTTCAATGATTGGTTCCATCGTATGGAAAAATATGCCAAATTTCGCAGAGAATACTTCGAAAAGCAATAAATACATTTTTAAATAGTAATGTTGTGTCACTTCCTTGATTCTCGAAATTTTCAATGCCGCCCTCGTACAGGTCATCTATCAGCTCTCGGGAGCTCAGTTTTCATTTTAACTCCAACTTCAGCCGACGCTTTGTCGTTTTTAAGTTGAATTACAGCCCATTCTTATCTCGCTCAGACGTCCGGGATATTATGGGAATAATACCGGTAAGATTTGCCCTCGGCTCGTTACTCACACTGTTTATAAGCTTCTAGATCTCACTCAAACCTCCCCTATGACGCTGTCGCTCACGGTCTTCAAAATTGTTAATTAGGCATTTTGCGGCAACAAATATTTGGCGAAGATTTTGGAGTCCTCGTCCCACTCAATCGCTTGTTCAAACGAAAATAATTGTATTGAAGCTGCTTAAGTTGCATACATTTAGAGATCTGACTCTTCAATAGCTCGTCAGCTGACGTATTAGTTGTAGACTGAATTCTTATTTCCCGCTTAACAGCCATTTCATTAAGAGCGTGGTCGGAGAGCTTTTGGCTCGTGGCCGAACTTATCATACATATGGTCCACTATAATGCAATCAAAAAGAATTTTAAGAAAAAGTAGTACAACATTGATAAGATGAGATTTAAACCTAGATTTCCGTATTCAGAGGAATTCCTTAGCTTGAAATCGATTTGCAATATCGCATTTTTATTGCTTGATAAGATTGACTGAAATGTAAAATTTATCGACGTATAAAGTGGAATATATTTAAACCAGTAAGTATAACTAGTAAAACTACATAATGATTTCTTATATTTACGCGAACACTACAAATTGAATAAAAAGTAGTTTTATTTAATAAAAATACACTTTTGGTTAAAATACATTTAACCAAAGTTGCTTTCTTATTGTATGCCTAATTTTTTTCGTCGTCAATATTACAACTATCTATATTAACTTAAAATTATATTTATTATTTTATGTGGTATGGTAGCCACACTGCAGCTGTGTTATGGCTTCAGCACTAGTTGGTCTTTCCGAGAGTCATTTACAGGATTACTGTCTAAAACACATTTTTCAAAAACAAAGGTAAAGTAAGCAAGAAATTGTGTCCATATTCCACAGCAAACATTCCTAACAATAAATTATTTAAACACTCTCTTCAGTAGACTGTTACGGCACTACTATAAAACTGAATGCTGCGTGAATTGCAAACTATTTGACGTCAAAATCACACGATTTCGAAGGTCACCCAGTCACCAGTCACAAAGCAGTTTTGATACGTCTTACTTTTTTTTATCAGTGACGTGTAAAGCTATTGATAGAATGTAGCCTAGCTTCATTTCATTCTTAAACAGAGTAAAATGTATTCACATGATAAATGTTATTACTATTACCCGATGTATCTATAAGGAAGATTATGTTTTTCGGGTGTATGGGTATGTTATGTTCACGGCTCAAAGGATATTCAATAGGTGTCATTAGACAAAACATAAGCTGGTTAAAGTGAAATATAAAAATAAATAGAGAAGATTATCCTTCATCATTTTATAGCCAGCCATTCTTATAAGAATTTTGATAGTCGTGTGATCGACACGACTATCAAAATCCCAGGAGACACGAACAGACATCAATCAGAGGATGAAAAGGCTTCAAAACCTTATAAACAAATCCTAATATAATTAAAAATTAAAAATTTTGTACAACCGACTTCTATATAAATTATTAAGAATAACTCAAAAACTATTGGTCAGAGGTAGATCAATTTTAATTAATTTATATAGGACCACATGTGAAGCACCAGCTTTCAAATAAAAAAGAATCATCGAAATCGGTTCAGCCCGAAAAAGTTATGAGGTAGCACACATAAAAAAAGATAAAGTCGAATTGAGTACCGTCTCCTTTTTGAAGCCGGTAGAAAAGAACACAAATGTGGTAGAGCCAAGCTGCAGCTATATTATGGTTGTAGCACGAATGGGTCGGCCAAACCGGGAGGTAAGGGTCACGCTCTCACAGAATACCAGCATAAAATAGCAGTTTAAGCTACTGCAATCATACGATAGGTGAGTGTAGAGAATGATAGACTATTTTAACAGAAAACGAGGCTATCCGTCTTAGTCCTCAGGGTTAACAATGCATCTGATATCTATGATACAGCATCCACTAATCGTCAGGTGGACTGTGTGCTCTTTTGTCTACCTTCTTCTATAAAAAAGGAGAGAAGGAGTTAGAGAGAGAGCATATTTTTTAACTTTTAAACTATAAAATATGATTAAAAATAAATAAATATACTTAAGTGTATACAAATTGACAAACGTAAAGTGGTGGCACTTTGATTGTTAGTACATAAATCTTCCCCTTATTTCAGTACTAAAAAATTTAAGAGATGGAAAAAGATATCGAAAGAAAATAACATAACTGAGAAGTTATAACCAACACATAGTTTATCGAACTTAACCCTGATTATCATTATCGGCATCGACATACTCTGTGCGCGGGTCAAGAACCGACCACGCGAATCCGGTTCAATTAAATCGTAATACATTGTTACAGAGACCATTTGTTATATAATAACGTTGCTATAGCGTGAAGAAATATATTTTATGGATGCGTATACTTTATCTTTAAAAATCAACTATTAATATTCTATACGCTACTTCTGCAGATGACGCCACGACGGAGCATACGCATTAAATACGAATATTATTAAAAATATAGACATAAATATATATAAAATTATTTAAGAGTAAGCTATGAAAAATAACATTCAGAGGGTTACTGGTATCTTTCAACATTAGCTTTTATTAATATACTAGCTGGCCAGGCAGACGTTGTTCTGCCCTTTCCGACGACCCTTCCTATGAAAAAATCCTTAAATTCGCAATAAAAAATATTGAAGGTCACTTATCGGGATAAAAACTATCCTATCTCTTAAGTTGGACCAAACAGCACACAGTGTGCAAAATCTCATTGAAATCAGTTCAATAGTTTAGGAGTTCATCGCGGACAAACAACGTGACACGTAATTTTTATATATAAAGATAAGAACAATGTAAGAAAAAGAGCTATAGAATTCAAATGTCCTCTAAGCCGAATATCGGCCTCGGCGCTGCGCAGACGCAGTTGTACTGACTTTTTTTTATAGGATAAGGGTGACTAACGAGCATACAGTCCACCTGATGGTAAGTGGTTTGTTGTGACCCATAGACATCTACATCTATCCTCAATAAACAATCAAAATACAGATGCGATGTCAACCGTGAGGACTAAGATGGAATGCCTCTTTTCCAGTAAAAAGGATCGCCGGTTCTCTACACTCACTATACGAAACACATCAGTGTTAAGCTGTCATTTTACGCTGGTATTCTGTGAGCGCGTGGTCCTTCCCCGGTCGAGCCGACCCATTCGTGCTACAACTATACTATTAATATAGCTGCAGCATGGCTCTACCACGTTTACTAAAAGCTATCTGACTATTCCATTTGCCATCACTCTCACAGTCTGATGGGACAAAAATCCGTCAAAACCGGAGAGAGATTAGACGCAGTACCAACGGAGTGCTTACCGAGGTACAGGGTTGAAATATCGCCATTTCCTGACTCCGGGCACAACTGAGAATTTTTGTCAGTATCAGTCAGTGTCAGTGTCAGTCGCACTTACGATCACTAGAGCAAAGTTGAAGTAAAAAAAAAAATAACACGTGTCACGAGCACGACATTTCATGAATATTAAGTTCGGGTTTTGCGCTGCGTTCGTTTTAACTCTAATCGATTATTCAATCATTTCGTTTTAATTTTTTTTTTAAACGAAATGATTCAATTTTAATGAATAATGTAAAAGCCTGTCTGGTGATCCCAGTCTACAATCGTTATACAGACTTATCAGCCTGGTCGGTGGTAACCCAAGGACATTTAGTTATAATAACCGGCCCACGATTGCTTTTTTATCATAATATGGTCTGATGTCCGATTTCCTATATTAATACCAATAATATTATATCTTTATGCCGAGACTTGACTACTAAATATTTTATTATCATTCCCTGTTCATTCAAATATCTTCAGTAGATATTACCATTCCTAAAGTTCACTAAGTGAAAATTTTACAAGCCCAGAAAAGGGCTATTTAGTTTACGTGTGGAGCTGTGGAGATGCACCATGGTATTGGAATTTTTTTCCCATTTTCTAGGAAAAATCGTAATGGTGAAAGTTTTCGTTTGTGCATATTACCTACTATTAAAGGGAAACACGTAATAAAATGCACGTGGAAAGAAAGACTACTGGATAATTAATAACATGATTTAATGTATACCTTTATATTTATAATATAATTTATTTCAATCATGTTCGCGATGCACCTAATACGCGCTACGGGCTTGCAATGGTGAGTACATACCAACAGCACTATAAGGCCGCAACTGTATGTACAGTACACCAGTACAGTATGCAAAGTCAAACATAATGAAAAATTAAACTTTCTATGCGGGTTAGTTAACACCTAATGCGGGCCATGGATACTTTCACTTTAAATATGTGGAAAAAATTAAAATTTCTGCAAGTTTTAGAAACAAAATACCTTATCTTGAAGTAAATATTACCGGAATAAATTTCGTAAATTTGTCTGTTTTACGAGATTAAACGCAAGTCTGAAATCAAGATTTTAACAACCGATACACAATTTCTAGCGCAATGATTAGCTCCTAATAATTATCCTTATGATGCACTCAATGACATTTTAAGCACGAGAAATGTGTGGGTGTGACATTCTATTGAAAAAGGAAATGAAGAATAAGGTATTGTTACTCACCGATACTTCAACGGGTTCAGGTTTTACATATCCATTTTTCCTATAGCCGTTTAAGCTCGTCTCCAACGTCTCTAATTTCCCATTATAATGTCCGTTAGTTAGCGTTTTCGTCATTATCACAGCCGACATTGTGAAATAATTGTTCTCTATTTCATTAACCTACGTAAGTACACAAATCCGAATTATTGTCGATACAAAACCGTAAATGTCTCTCGCATTGTTAACGCAAGGCGTTAAATTATAATTTGAAATTTTATCACGCAGTACTGAAAACAATTTGAGATATTGTCACGTATTTCTTCGATTTTACTTGTGTAATGTAAAACAAGATCGTTAAATTGAGAACGCTAACAGAAGTATCGTACACACGTCTGTTTATTGCAAGTCGCGGTGCATGACTAACAATATCTGAGCGGTGAGCGGTTTGCAGGCGTGAAGTGGACGACTGCGGAATGTACAATGTATGTATAATGTATTCGTGAGGGAGAGGGCGGGTATGAGCGCGGGTCGCGGGAGGCCGACGCCGGTGGCGCGACGTCGACGTGGAGGCTCGGCGGACACGCGACGCGCCACGGGACGCCCCGCACCCGCACAGTCACAACAGAACGGTGGCCCCAATCGGCTAGACTACAGAGTTGTTCACTCACCATAAATATACACATTATACCGCTACCTTAGAATTAAGTCATTAATCCGTAAGATGCCTACTATCTACACTGCCTGTGAGATTACTTTTAAGAAAAATTTACTATCGCTTCAAATACTAAAAGTATTGATAGTATTAATACAATTACTTAATTTAAGATTATAAAGGAATATCTAAAAGTCATTGTGTGTCTAATTGACCTTTCTGTTATATTTTCATGAAATGTGATTGCTTTTCAACTTATATTTGAAAAGATAAATGTGAATAAGAATGACAGTACCTAATAGAGATGCAGAACATAGGTTTAGGAAGCCTAAAAGCTACCACTTCCAATTAAGAGTCCTTACAGTTTTCATTGTTGTTGTCACCCGCAAGCAAAATAGACGCATAATATTTTCAACAATGATTTACCGCAGTTCTAAATTACGTTGCGACTATTTACGGCAGAATATAAAGTTTTGGATATAAATGTAAAAAAATAAGAATCGCTACCAAAACACAAAATCATAGACTTAAAAACACTTAAACTTAATAATACAATACTAATTACAGAGAGTTTCACGTTCTTTAGCGAGCTCTTTATGAGACTAATAGAAAACTGAACACAAAGTATTAACTACCTAAGAACGAAAATAATGATTGAATTTTATATACTCAGGGACAAATTTAGAGTAACGCAAAAAAGATGCGTATAAAACAAAATATGATGGATATTTTTGACAATTAAGTTTATTAAATTTAATTTTGCTTATTATTCGTTAATTTAAAATTGTAACTTCATAAAACTAACATAAAGAAACATTTTTGTATTTAACATTTTTTTAAATTTTTTTTAATAGGATAAGGGTAACATACGAGCACACAGTCCTTCTGATGGTAAGTGGTTGCTGTGGCCCATTAGAAATCTATATCTATCCTCGATTACGAATCAAAATGCAGATGCATTTTCACCAGTGAGGACAACGATGGAATGCCTCTTTCCAGTAAAAAGGGTCTCCGGTTCTCTACACTCACCATACGAAACACAGCAGCGTTAAGCTGCTATTTTACGCTGGTATTCTGTGAGGGCGTGGTCCTTCCCCGGTCGAGCCGACCCATTCGTGTAAAACTGACTGAAAAAATGTAAACTAACAAACCACGTAAATGCTTAGGAAAGGCTATAACGTGGGCTATAATCAGTACCTAGTGTTGCCCCTCTAGCTCTTCGAATTGCTTTCAGTCTCCTTGGCATACTCCTAATCAAGTTATCAATAAAATATTGAGAGATTGCGTTCCATTCTCGTTTTTAAGATCTCTCAAATTAGCTGGGGCAGGATTTCTTTTCTTAATTTGTCTTCCAAGCATAACGAATACGAGGTTTCAGCCCGGGCAAGCGCGCTGACCACCCCATAGCATTGATTTCAACGTATCGGAGGTATTCGACAACTAAAGCGGCCTATGCATAAAACAAATTTATCTCCTATAAAAGGAACAAAATGCACTACAATTTCTTCAAAAATCTCAGTAACATAACGTGCGTCTGTTAGTGAACTATTCTCGATAACGCGGAGTTCCGTACGTGCCCCCATACAAATACTTCCCCATACCATAACTGACTCTTCGGCAATTCTCTCTTTCAATGATGTTGCACTGAGCGTACCTCTAACTTGGGCCTCTCTAAACTTTAATCCTTCCATCATTTAGCTTCAGGCAAAATCTGGACTCATCTATGAATAGAACTGAACTCCAAGCTTATTCATTCCAATTTTCGTGATTGCGAGAAAATTAACTCGAGCTACTCGATGTCATGTGGCAAGAAGAGGACAAGTGTGAATTTATTCCGGCCGATTTTAGCTTTTTCATACAGTTTTTGTGCTTACTGTAACCATTTGAACTTATTGGAGCTTCGTTCTTACCTCAGAAGAAGTTAAGGTCCGGTTTTTAAGCACGCTGGTAACGATGAACCGGTAATCTCTGGGTATAGATTTCAATTAACGTCGCAGACGTCAGGACAGGGGTCCTGCGAGTCTCGTATATTGTCCGGTCTGACGATTCCTGTTGACAACTCGGTGTAGCACAGATTTTAATACTCATAATATTTGGGCCACATGTTTATAGGTATGACCAGTTTCAATTAAAGTAACAGCCCTAGCAACTTGAGTGACGTGTAGGTCTGTCATTATCAATTTGTTTACACAATTCACACTTAACACGATACACAAGGCAGGCAAGGCAAAAATTTAAACTAAACCTACATTTAAATGCAAATTTAAAAGTTGGCTAAAATTTTCGCAAATGAAAGAAAGCAATATTACGCAATAACTACATAAAAACAAATGAAATTAAAAAAAATCTAAAACTTTCTTTTCTTTATTAGCATTTACTAATGTCTGGCCAGCGTTAATTACAACAGGAGAAATTATACCTCCTTTTTTTGCGTTCCTCTAAATTTGTCCATGAGTGTACTACACTTATTTTATAACCATGTATAATAAGTTAATGTTTCTACTACAATGCTTTTTCGAAATCAACTATCGGCGTCCGGTGACATTTTTTATGTGAATTTTAAAGTTCAAGTAAATCTACAATCATTTCAGTAGAGACAAGCGATTTTTTATTTTCTCTACGACGTTTTTTACTTGTAAAGTTCCTAGAATCATATTTCTTTTCGAGATTTGATATTTGGTTTCATGATTTACATTACGAGGGCTGCACTAAAAGTATCGGGAATAGAATATTTCCACTGTTCCTGTCATATTAAAATTTTTTTAATTGAAAACTCCTTGGTTTTAAAAATCGAATACCATTTATTTATTTAAAAAAAGATTCTTAGTCTTGCCACAAGGTTTTATCAAAATTGTTTAGTCGTTGAGAAAATGGAATTGACTCGAGAAAATTCAAGATCGATGATTTATTATGACTTTCGAAGTGGTTTAACACAAAAACAGTGTGTTGACCGGATGATTTCTGCATTTGGTGATGAAGCCCCATCCAAAACCACAATTTATCGCTGGTTTGCTGAATTTCAACGTGGACGTGTCAAGCTCAGTGATGATCCCCGTCAAGGACGTCCAAAAACTGCAGTCACCCAAGAAAACGTTGATGCTGTGCGTAAGCTTATTGAGAAAGATCGACATGTGACATATCGCGAAATTCAGGCAACTTTAGACATTGGCATGAGTCAAATACAAATAATCTTGCATGAACAATTAGGTGTAAAAAAGTTGTTTTCCCGATGGATACCGCATTAGCTGTGTGAAGAGCAAAAAGCGGCTCGCGTTACTTGGTGCGTCAGAACTCTCGAAAGATTCCACGCAGGATCCTCAAATGCTGTATACAACATCGTATCAGGTGACGAATCCTGGATATACGCGTACGAACCCGAAACATAAAACCATTCACGAGTTTGGGTGTTCGAAAATGAGTTAAAGCCAACAAAAATTGTTCGTTCACGGAGTGTTGCAAAAAAATTGTCTCCAAAACCGGCCATGTTACGACTATTACTCTTGAGGGACAAAGAACGGTTAATGCAGAATGGTATGCTAGCATTTGTTTGCCACAGCTCGTTTCTGAACTCCGTAAAGAGAACTGCAACCGCCGCATCATCCTCCATCACGACAATGCGAGTTCTCACACCGCACACAGAACAAAAGAGTTTATAGAGCAAGAAAACATAGAATTATTAGACCATCCGCCGTACAGCCCCGACCTAAGCCCTTGATTCCTATACTTTCCCTAAAATAAAGAATAAATTGCGTGGACAGAGATTTTCATCACCTGAAGAAGCTGTGGACGCCTACAAAACGGCCATTTTGGAGACCCCAACTTCCGAATGGAATGGTTGCTTCAATGATTGGTACCATCGTATGGAAAAATGTGTCAAATTTTGCGGAGAATACTTCGAAAAGCAATAAATACATTTTTAAATAGTAATGTTGTGTCACTTCCTTGATTCCCGAAATTTTCAGTGCCGCCCTCGTACTCTTATAAACGACTACTGCAGGGGTCGTTTGTAAGACTAATGTACACTGCTGACAAATGTCACACAACCGTGTTTTATTTTCCTATCCTATTTCTACGCTCCTTAACAGAGTATTTCGACCGTTTACTCATTAAACCTTGTACCAAGAAATCCTCGGTACTTGGTTGCTCGCTAAAAGAAATACTCGGCACATTTCTCTACATTTGAAATATTTCGACGCAAAGAAAATTAAAGTTTTTCCCCCAGTTAGTATCTGAAAATTTATATAGACCGAACGTTTTTGGCAGACAGACAGAGAGAGTGAAAAATTAACAGCAACATCTTGTGTAGTTAGTTGACTTAACGAAAGCCGGGGGTTAATTTACGAATTACGAATCAGATGAGGAATTACATTTTATTCAAGTTCAATGATTTTTTTCCAACTTGTTTTATCGTGTCACGTGTCAAAAATTACACATGTCGAAAGACAATGATCTAGATTTTATGTATTTTGTGGTATTGGAGCACGTTGATATTAGTGATACCTGCCGGGTAATCAGTAAAGACGCTTTGGTTTAATAACAATGCCAGTAGCATTTTATAAGCACGATATACGCTCTAAAATTTTAAAATGAAAACAATTTCTCAGTTTTGAAAACATTCTTTCAGTTTGAAAACATATTTTTATTCGAAATAGGCATTTTTGACGTTTATAGAAATCATTACTTAACAAGTCTTGAATTCCGATGAGAATTTATTGCATCTCAGTTCACACCACCAATTACACACACAATTCTTTGTCGCAAATCGGGTA